CCCCAGGTTGAATACCACTGATCTAAGAAATAAAATAGAAAAACGACGTTTCGGAGACGGGTATCTATTGGGCCTGAGTAGGTACCTGAAGACGTAGATAGAGCCCCATCTCCGAAACGTCGTTTTTTCTGTTTTATATCTTAGACGATGGAAAGTATCCAAGGAAATTTTTTATTCAAATGACTCGCCGTCGTCACGAACTTTTAGACTTTCGTAGTCGGTGAGAGACGAGTTTGGGAAATCGGGCATTCGTGGTGACGTGATGATGGCTGGGTGCGCCCAGAAGTTGACCATATAGGGAGCTACCCGAGACCAGTTGGGCCTGGCGCCTCTCTGCCGGCCGTGTGGACGGGGATATAGTTGCAGTCTGACTTTCGTCTATTGATGCAACAAACCATCAGTAGGATGAAGCAGGGTGCTTGGTACAGCACACGCCACGAGTTAAGACACAGAAAGAATATACTCCGCCTTTCCATCCGCGTATTTCTTGATCTCATCTCCGACCGTAGGAAGTAAACACGTGGGGGTTTGCGTTGCAAATCGCCGTGTATATCGAAAAGGTGAAATGTGTGACGTTCCCGTGGAATTTCTGAGCCATGCGCCGTTGGAGTCCCCGGAGTCAAAATGGCGGAGTGAGTCAACGAAAATGCCCGCGAAAATGTTTACCTTCTACGGATGGGATATTGAAATAAGAGAGCGGATATGCGAAAACGCCGATATCGGATGCTGATTAAACGACAGTAATCTGTAAATTAGAAATAAAGAGATGTAGGCCCCATGTTAACATATCCGTAACGTGTTTCTCGGGAGTTTTATTTTTAATTAACAAGTTACTTTCGTTTGAAACAATCTTTGTTCTTTGCGCGTAAACAACTTTCCATTTTACAAGTCCATTAAACATGGTTTTCCCAAACTAAAACTTGTTACAATCATATTGAACGCGCTGATCTGTCGGTGTGAGACTTCGGGGGCAACAGAGCAGGGCTGTTCTGTTTAGCGAAAACTTGAACTGGGTGAAGATTCCCACGCTTGCAATTCATGTGTGGAGGTTCCCACGCCAGTTAAGGGATCTGGAAGACACGGCATTACTCGAGTGGACACGGTCGACAGCGGGTGTTGAGCCTGTGTGCAAAACTTTGGTGCCAGTTATGGAAAGTGGCGTATAAGATTGGCCTTAATTTCAAAAGTAAAATTATTCGGAGTTCTTTACTTCGTTGTTCCTGTGTTTATTGAAATACATAAAATTTACGACGTCAACCCTGAGGCGATCCTTGTTCCCCACTGACTCCAGTTCGGAAAATAACTATCTCTTGCCGAAGGAACAAAGGAGGAGTATAAAGAATAGTTATATAAAAAGTGGCGCCCAACGAGGATCGGCGTCGAGATTAGGCAGAAGAGCACCGGTACGACACTGCAAGTGTCAGGGGAGCATCAAACCAGCCCCCGCGTTTCCAGAAATCTGCCGACTTCGAAGTGGGCAACCGGGTTCAGGGATTGCAGCACCCGCGAGGAGACGTCGCCCGGGGAATCAGCCGCGGACCCTGGCAAGTCAGTTTAAGGAGATTTTGCATGTGAAATAAGGAAATAGAAGTGAAAGGAAATCGTGAAATCCTTAGTCAAGTGTAAAGAGTGCTCAGTGAAGTCAACCCCACCAGCAGCAACATCAGCTTCGGCACACCAGGTTAGCACAGAGTTTAGTTAATTAAAATGTATAACCAGAACCCGCTCAGTGGACGTAGCTCCCTCAACACAGAGCCTGAGATTGAGATTGACATAACAGCCCCTAGCTTACGTGGTCAACCATCTCCAGTAGATGGCACGGAGCCACAGACCGGAAAGGAAGTCCCGGAAGGTGGCAGACACGGGGAAGTTATCGCGATCAGACGGGGAGAGGGTACAGCAGATGAGGGACAAGCCATAAATGCAAAGGAGGAGGGCAGTGAGAGTATGAATGATAGTTATAGCGAGTATGGAAAATGTAATTAAAAATTTAAATTCAATTGGTCATTTGCCATTCCACAAGACACACTTTCGAGAAAACTGAAAGATGTGAGAGCTTATTCATGAAGTTGTAGTTCACGAACAGCTTTCACGTCCAAAGTTGTGGGGTAATTATTTGTGTAGTCTTTTCAAGTACCCGTAATACTGATGTAACACTTACCGTTGTTGTCGCTGCTGGGGTGCTCTGGGCTTTGGTGCGTTCTTTAAACTTAAATCGAAACTAACGATTTATAACGTTGAGTCCAGGACTCATGTCGTTTCGCTTGTACCGACGTGATTATTGTGAGAAACTTTGTCAAATTCATGTTCTCACGGCAGCGCCTTGTAGTCTGTTAGATGTTTTCCGACGTTTCAGAGGTCATACTGCCTCCATCATCAGGGCGATGTTTTTCAGTTTTCTGCAAATTTCCGTGATTGTATTTGGCGCAGTTGTCTCCGTCTTTCTGTCATGCTGTTAGATAACAAATGCCCTCGTAATGGGGCAGAACGCGTAAGGAAGCGTCACGTATCTTCTCAGAGGCTGCGACCAGTCGCGTAGTTGCATTGCCGTTGTCATCTGTTTCTCTTTCAAAATGAGTCCATCGGTTACCCAGAGCAGACCGGTTGTTATTATTCGGAACTTATCAGCAACCACTTTACTGCCATTTAGAGGTCAGCCCTGCGTTTGTCTCCACCCACAAGCCACATCTTGAGGGTTACATGACCGAGAGCGATAAAGAACTCGACAACAGAAAGTCGTGTCTGCCCGAAAGTTAATAAAAAGTACGAAACCGGTTCATATCTGAAGATGGAGGATGTCACAACTTTGAAAATAAACCGCGGTTTTACGTGGAGTCCACACTGAAATTATTATTTTTTCTTAAAATTGATATTAGTATAAAAATATCTCTCGCTTCTGGCCACGAGGATTGGTCAATAAATAACGTGTTTTTGCCTATGTTTTAAGGAGCACAGACGTCGGTCGCTGACAGATTTTCTCTAATTTTAGTCGCCCTTCTAAAATTCGTGAATGGCTGTCGTCTGTGTTGTAGCTTCATGTAGTGTGGTAAGCGTTTACCATCGTTTCAGAGGCGTTGCAACCCAGTAGACATCCATCTTCGTAAGAACCTCGTGTCCAGAAATAAGTACTTGGTACCAACTTGT